TTCCTGACCACCAATCTAACATGGTAGCCTTCTCCCACCCCTCACTTTCTACTCCCCTGCCTTACACTTATTTCTCTTCATCTTTTTACTGAATGCCTTTATACTATACACCATTGTCTTTCTCTTCCCACTGGAGTCGCATCACAACAACGGAGCACCAAGAGTGAAGGGATGGGAATGGCTCTCCCTAGGAGCAGGTGATAAGGAAATGCATTGCCTGCTGAGAACTTAAAAACAATACTTAAATCCACAGAAAGTCAATCTGCTATTTATCATTATTACCACATGCCACCAACTCAAAGAAAAATGCCTGGGTGCCCTGCAGGGCAGACTGTTTTCCGCCATATTGCCCTTGGTAAACTATTAGCAGGACCTTCATCTGCTTTGTTCACTGTTGTACCCCATCACCCAATTACAGCATAAAAATAGTTGTTACTGAAAGTATTTTCTCCAGTTTTTCATGTGTATGATTCATGTCCTCCCACACAGACATTCACTTAAGAGCATGTCTTAATACTGTGTGTGTGTGTGTGTGTGTATCTCCTGCATAGTGCCCACTGGTGAGCACGTAGTAGGCACTTGATAAATACTTGACCAAGCTTGCATAGGGTTTGTACCCACTACCCGGAAGTTGGGATGGGAAAGGGCCCTGGCAGAAATGTCATCAGTGAATGAAGGAGCCCAAGAAAATCATTTCATGACACAGGGCAACGGAAGCAAGAAAAGCAAGTGGCCACCCCTCCCCTTCAGCTCTATCTCGGCAAAATGCAAGAACCCTGACCCTCCCTCTTACCACTCTCCCCTGCTGCTTCAGAAACAGACAACCTTTATGGAGGACCTACTCTGGTCCAGGCACTGAGCTAACCCTTGCAGGTGTTGCTTCATCTAATCTCTGCTACCACCATGTGAAAAGGTACTATTACTGCCCCTACACCACAGGCAATGAAACCGAGGCTTGATGAGGTCAAGTAACATACCCGAGATTATTCATCTGGCATCTAGTCAAACTGGAGTAAAGTGATCTATCACCAGAGTTTATGCTCTAAAGAACACAATGTTTTCAATACAGATATTTAAATATCCTAATCAAATTAATTACTATAAGTTATTTCATTTTCTACAAAATCTTTAGAATCTAGAAGTCACTGGTAATGTTTTTGCCCAGGATTCTGTTTACCTTTTCTCCTGCTGCATCCGTTTGAACCCAGAAATCAAACCGGTCAATGAACTCAGCCTTTAACAAGCTCATCTC